TAAAATTTTAATGGAACAAAAAAAATCTAAACAAATGGAATAAAAATAAAAATAAATAAATAAGAGAAATTTCTAGTTCACGGTTCCGTCTACACCCTCGAATGACTCGTCTAATCAACTTTGGTATCAAATCTCGCTATCTTATGAAATTACTAGCCCTAGGCAACGACACGGTCTGTTACCCGAATTTTTCCTTAAGTTTAACTTAACCGTGAGACGCTCAGCGATTAAACCTGACTTCTTGTACAGTCTAGAAGACGCTTCTTAGATTTAATACAATCAGCCGCATTACGAATTAGAAAAATAGGCTAGACTAAATAGTGAACTCAACCGCGTTCGTTCACTTAAATAGGCCGTGTTATCCCCGGTAGTTACCATCTTCCGGTTACCTCTTAGGAATTAAACACAACAACAATTACGGATTGAAGGTCTAATTCAGATGTAGATATGCAAAGCCTAATCTAGGTGATCAAACTAAACAAGACTAAACACATCATGGTAAATTATTCAAAACAACACAAGCAATTCCAAAAGAGATATTGAAATTATCAACTATGGAAATTAATCAAACATCGTCAATCATAGGGTTCGACTTCCCCGGGACTAGAATAAAAAATTACTCTAACATAATAAATAAAAATAAAAAGAACAGAAAGAGAATAGAATTATCTTCTTTCGTGTGCGGGTGCGGCCTCCCTCCGCAATTGATCAGGCTCTCTGCGTCTTCAAGTACTGTTCTCCTTTTCGTTCTTGCGTGAATGGGCGTGAATTCTCTGTTCCCGTAACTATGTCCAACTCCCTTCTGCTCTCTTTTTGCGTGACCCTCTCTTTTTCTTTTTTTTTTTATTCCAGCCGTCAGCTCCCCTTTTTCAATAATAGGTCTCTCTTCTTTTTCTACACGTTTTTTCTTTCTTTTTCCCAAGTCAACTCCAATAAACTGGACCCCCTTCACATTAATTCTGCATAAATTCAGCCCAAATATATGTCCACTTAGCCCATTCGTCCACTTAAATAAATTCAGCCCAAATTAATTAACTGCAGCAGGAGTACTGGGGGCTGGAGCGAAATACTGGGTACCCAGTACTACATCAAACAAAAATTTGTCGAGCTCACGTCTTGCATTCAACGTCATCACTTGCTAAGAATAATCCCAAAACTCTGAAGACACTCAAGAAACTCATCAAGGCACCACAATCGATCATAATATTAAATAAGTCGAAAATCATATAAATGCGTCTAAATAAACGTGCACTATTACAAAATTAAATAATCAAAGCGAGCACATTTCTCGACTAATCATGATCCAAGAAAGAAGAAGAGAATTGTTAGCCAGCAAGTCTTCAAGAAGGTCATCGTCGGAGTCAGGACGAGGGATGGATCCGTCAAGGAATCCAAATTTCTTCCGTGCACGCAGCGCATTTCGAAAGCTTCGACACCATTCATCATAATTTGTATCACCCTTCAATTGAACATGGGTGATGAGAAGACCTGGGTTATCCGAAGAGGAAAGATCGTATGGAGAGATGGTCTTTCGAGCCACGGTACTTCCACTGGAGTCTGCCATTGAAGAGCCGCCGAGAAAAGAAGAGCCGCCGAGAGGAGAAAAAAATCTGAAGAGAAGAAGAGCCGCCGAGAAAAGAAAAAAATATGTTGGAAAAAAAAAATTTAAGAACCCGCTCTTGATACCATGTCAAACGGGGGCAATACGAGTGCGGTCCCACACAAGTGAAGCGCACCATAAGAGGGTTAGCCCAAATGAAGCCCAAGTGAGGTTCCATCCCAAAACCAATTGGTGATGGGAGGAGTAGCCCACTAGACTTATTAACTAGGCTCATTCACCCTGTCAAATCAATGTGGGACAACTCACAAGTGATATTCCCAACACAGTGAAATACGTTTCCCGAAACACATGATTTAATTGCACCGACCACTCGCGATTCCGTAATTCTCGTATGGCCCGAACAAGACTATCATGGATCTCGCCCACGTACTCTTTCCCCATAACCACACTAATCAAGCTACTATTGTCCACTAAATTAGTTTTGAAATATATAGACACAATACACGCATTCAATCTGGTTGGGATCCGATTTCTAATAGGCTGCGTATCTCGCGTCATGTTACCTTTTGGGAGCATACTACTTTTTCCTCCTTGTCTAAGTTCCACATTCCGTTTGATTCAGCGTCTCCTTTATTCATGTCTATTACTTCATATCTTTTTCCAGATACAGATACAGGTTCTGACTCTCAGCTCATTGACACGCCTGTCATCCCTCCGTCTTCTGAAGTGGCTCCAGTTGTGCATCCTGAACCGACGGTTCATAATGAGCCCTCTTTTGGTTTCGTACTTTTGCCAGCTAATGATCAGCGACGGTCGACTCGTGTAAGTCGTCCCCCTTCTCACTTACTTGATTATCATTGTTATTCGACCATATTATCTCATCATGAGCCTAGGTCTTTTGTTGAGGCGAGTATTGATCCATTGTGGCAAAAAGCTATGGCTGAGGAATTGCAGGCCTTAGACAAGACTCATACTTGGGATCTAGTTTATCTACCTGCTGGCAAGAAACCCATCGGATGCAAATGGGTTTACAAGATCAAAACAAATTCAGATGGGTCTATTTTCTATGTATGAACGATGTGGGACAACTCACAAGTGATATTCTAACACGCCCCCTCACTTGTGAGTCCTTCGGAAGCCCAAGCCCAACTGAGTGCCCAAAGCCTACTAGAAGTAGACTCCTATAAACGGGTACGTGGGGAAGCAGACTCCCATAAACGGATGCGAGAAGCCCAAGCTCAACTGGGTGCCCCAAGCCTACTATAAGCAGACTCCCATAAACGGGTACGTGGGGACGCAGACTCCCATAAACAGGTACGTCATTGCACAGTCCCAATAGAACCGGCTCTGATACCATGTAAGAAACTGGGGGCACAGTCTCAATAGAACCGGCTCTGATACCATGTAAGAAACTGGGGGCTCTGATACCATGTAAGAAACTGGCGGAAAAATGGATACGGTCCCATTAACATGAAGCGCACAATGAGAGGGAAAAGACCAGATGAAGCCTAAATGGGGTTCCATCCCAAAACCAATTGGTGGAAGGATGAGTAACTCATTAAACTTATAAGGTGGGTCTATTTTCCATGTATGAACGATGTGAGACAACTCACAAGTAATATTCTTAACATATAGACACAATACACGCATTCAATCTGGTCGAGCACTCTCCATACAATGCAGGCACAGCACAGGGCGTAGTAAGGAAATGTTGACTAAAGTCCACTCTTCACCCTTCCCGTTCCCTCTATCTTTCTATTAAGAATTAGGCAAAGTCTGCCTCACACTTTCCGTCAGACGCTTCCTTTCCATGGAAAAGAAAAACAAGTCTTCTCCACATGTCATTATAAATAAAAAAAAATAAAAATAAAAAATAACATAAAATAAAAGAGCAAATAAAAAGCTACCAAAATAATAATAATAAAAAAAAAAAAACAGATAAAGTAATAGCTCGCTATATACGAATACTTTTCCAGTTTTCCCCTTAGTCAAATTTTTGATACTTACTCTCAACAACAGATATCAACAATCCATCATATAAATATAAAACTTCTCTTTCTCTTCTCCTTCCCCAATTCATCAAACTTTTTTTTACAAAAAAAAATTTGAAAAAATAAAAAATAAAATAAAATGAAACCCGGATTCGATTTGGACCCAACACTTTCCCTCCTAACGCTGACAGTCCTAATCCTATCACTCTGTAAAATCCCAAACGCCATCTCCCAAAACGACCAGCCTTACCAAACTTGCCGCCGGACGTTCGACTGTGGGGATGTGCCGGAGATAGGCTACCCATTCTGGGGCGGCGACCGCCCCGATTACTGCGGCCATCAGAGCTTCGGGCTCACCTGCCTCGACAACACCCTACACCTAAACATCTCGTCCGCCTCCTACCGAGTCCGCGAAATTCAAAACAGCACCCAAACGATGAGGATAGCTCGAGACGATTTATGGACCAACTTGTGCCCGCCGGCCCCCCGCAACACGACCCTCGATTTCTCACTTTTCGAATTCTTCTCCGACTACGGCGACCAGAACGTGACCCTGTACTACGGCTGCCGCTCGCCGCTGGTGCCGCAGATCCCCAATCGGTTCAACTGCGGCGCCAGCGCGTGGGGATACTACCTCACGAGGAGGTTGATGGAGCAGTGGAGTAACGTGACCCTCACGTGCGGCGTCAACATCGCGGTGCCGGTGAGCGAGCCGGCAGTGCGGGATCTGGAGGATCTGGCGGAGGGTTCACTGCAGCGGGCGATCGAGGACGGGTTCTGGATCCGGTGGCGGGCGGATTACGATAGGTGCGAGGGTTGTGTCGGGTCGGGCGGGTCGTGCGGTCGCGATCTGCGTTCCGGGTCGTTCGCTTGTTACTGCAGGGAGGGAACTCGCGATTCCACCTGCAATGGCACGCGGAGTGAGGACGGTAAGTCAATAAGTCATAATTCATTCATTAATTTTTTTTTTTTTTTT